ACCATGACGCCATCTGCGATCGATTAACTTGTGGACAATGATCCGTCGCTCTACGCCTCTTGTACCCAGTCCCGGACTGGCCATCGGGAGGACCGGTGGCCTGGACTGTTAAGTGGTCTGCCTCACACAGGGTGACTGGCAGTCTACATGATGTGGCCTGCCTCACACAGGGTGACTGGCTGTCTACATGATGTGGCCTGCCTCACACAGGGTGACTGGCTGTCTATATGATGTGGTCTGCCTCACAAAGGGGGACTGGCTGTCTACATAATGTGGCCTGCCGACATGGCCACTGTCATACCAGGGCTCAACATTATAAATGGCCCGCTGGCCCGGAAGCACTATTTAGACACTAATTCTCTAGGGGGGTCCGGGGGCATGCTCCCCCATAAGATTTTTTTTTAAAATGTTGTAGTTAAATGCATCAATCTGGTGCACTTTGAGGGGAAAATAAAGAGACTAGATCTATGGAAGCACCTATATGAAACAGAACTGTATGTACATTTCAATAATCCAGCCAGCATAACGTACTTTCCACTCTCCCGCTCGGGCCACTAAAAATATTGCTTTAAAAAAAAGAATTGTCCTGTGGTATTGGTATTTTGACTTGCAATTTAGTTAGATTTTTTCGTTTATTAACGCTACAACATAGCGTTTTGTGAGTCGGTTGTCGTTGTTGGGTGAAAAGCAAACAGCCGTTTGTGGAGCGCAGCGCGAGCAGGCTCCCGTGAGCGGGAGCAAGCTCCTTCACTACAGACTATCGCGCCACCTAGCCATTCGCCATTAATGTTTTTAATTCCAGCGGTAACCGGCCAAGCGCCGGGCAAAAAACAATCTTCAAATAAAAGAAAGTCACCGGAGGAGTTAAAGGAGAGTGACAGGGAGTATGAGAAGAAGAGGGAGAGAAAGTTTCAGCCAGCTTGATCGAAGGAGTTGGCTTCTAGTGGTGCAGTGACGCGTCCAAAAACCCTTTCATAATCTATCGATTAGATTTATGATTCGAAAATTATAAAAGTATGGTAGACATGTGGAGATTATCGGTCTGAACAAAACGTGCATTTATCAAACGGGTTCGTTTTCCACAGACCTTATTTCCAGCTATTTTCCAAAACCCTGTGGAGAAATCCCATTGCATTTGGTCGAGGGAACCAGCAGCTTACTCCCTGGTTTTAGGACGCGTCACTGGCTGCACCTCTCAATATGATGCTAATATAAACAAGGTCTTCTGTCGGCTCTGTACATCAATGCCGACCTTTGCTGACAAGTAAGTGAAGAGTAGAAAATATAAAGGTATTGGCTTTAGGGAAATGTCCCAGCAGTTTAGGATAATGAAGGTTCTAATCTAATCTACTACATAGCCATTACATGTCTAACTCCTAATGACAGGAAGGCAGAAAGCGCATTATACAAATAATAATAATACTCATAATAGCAGACATTTTTTAACAATGACCACAATATCATTATTTTAATAAACCAAATATGAACAATTGAGGAAAATGAGGAAGAACTGATGATTCAAATGTTGTAGTACAAGTAGTAATGTAGTTAGTGCATAAATTACTATTGCAACAAATGTGTTAATTAGTCATCATAAGTCGATTTCTTTTGGACGAATGCTCCGGGCCAGTGGTTACAATGGTGGGGCCAGTGATAATACAATTCCACCGGCCCGGAGGGACAGTGGCATTTTACCCTTAATGTCTACCCCTGACAAGACTGTGACCTGTTGTTTCTAATGATGAATCCAACTGTTGCGTTGCCTTGCGTTGCCTGCTTGCTCCCTGTCAATACACTGCAAATAATACAACCAATGGCAAACTAGCAGGTTCTGCACATGTGTGGAAAGATCATTACTTTTCATACCAGGGAGCGGCAGTACTTTTGTCAATCAAAAGGGCCTGAAGTTTGAGGGAAGCCAAAATGGCTTGTTGTGTCAGAGCCATTGAAATGCAAATGGAGGCACATTGTTTTCTACGACTGACTATTGACGCATACCTGCAGCTACAAACTGTTAGCAATGGTTATTTATTTTTCTAACACTGCAGTTGAAGGCTTCCTCAACTGAGAACCTGCCTTTCAATCTGTTTTTGTCTCAATAGGCCAGTTTACACATTTGTATGATGCCTTGGTAAATGAAATGTCAGTCAAACACTGTTGGAATACAGTTAGACGCATATTGCTACCATCTGAGTTGGACTATAGAATATAAACCACAACTGTTTGGGGCATATGCACATCCTGTTTCAGCCACAAGAAACTGCTTTTCTTCAAGTTCTTTGATTCGTAGTAATACAATAACTGCTCTCCATTTGTCTTGTATCACACCTGTCACCTCTTTTTATGTGTAGTCATTTTTTAGGAACTTAAGAAACTTTTTTAGGAACCAAGGGGTTCTACCTCTATATTCAGTAGGGCTGCAACAATTAATTCTGTCTGTCAATTTTCTAATTCTATGAATTTTTCAGTCTACAAAATCAGTCAGGAGTCGGTAAAATGCATGTCCCAAGTTCCCAGAACCCAACATGACACAGGGAACAGGGAAATCAATATCTTCTTTGAGTGAATACAAATAACAGACTCATTGTTTCAACTTCATATTTAAGTTCCTGGCCTAACGGTTTTTTTCTCCTAGAGAAGTCTGTGTCTAGATGTACTTATTTGACTGACCTCACTCAGCTATGAGCTATCAGGTGGGGTTTGTTGCACTAAAGGTTGTGGTTTGTCAAACAAAAACCTGAGGGACGCTTACATTTCTTTACAACTAATATTTACACAGTAAGGTTAAACTAGTTTCCAGCAATGTCAATATTACAGCAAGGGGAGTTACAAGGCTCCCTGATAGGTCTGAAAAGAGTCAGATAAAGGGGGAGATTCTGTGGGAGAGAGATATAAGGGAAACTGGCGGATGAAAGTATGGTGAGAAAAAAACAACCTGTTGTATTAGCCGTTTGCTTTAATGGCAATCCAAAAACAAATAACTGAGACAAATGAATTGAAACATACAAGCAAACATTACAGTTACACAGAGTACTGCATTTGGTCTTTTTATTTATTATTTCTTCCTATAAGTCTTGGGCACACGAGGACAATGCTACATGAAATAAGAGCTAGCTACTGTATGTTTAATATATCAGGGCTGTAACCAAAATGATTAATAACACTAAAACATTACAATATGAGTTACAGGCAGGTTCGAGCGACAGATGCATTCGCGCTTTATAACAACATATCACTAGATTGTTTTGAGCACATCCAGCTATTAGCCTGGGTGTTTTTTACCTCCAAATGTCTGACATTTTAGGAATGTGCTGCAGTCGTGACCGTCACTGTCCTTCAGGCAATCTTCTGGTTTGTGCTAATGCTGAATAATAAATCGGTAGTAGCCCATATACACTTTTAAAAGCACAGGGGGGATGCTTGTCTGTCACACAACGCATTTGACGTGGCGATGGGTCGTCATGATATTGTTGTTATATAAATAAAACCCACGTGCAGCAGGAGTGCTTTTTTGATGATGCGCTGGGATGCTGTGCAACACTTTCCTGTAAGCTAGATACTCACCCTTTCCAAAACCTTGCAATTTTAAAGTTAAACGACTGTGCAACTGTGGCTGCGAAGGATTGCGGTCCTCTTTTAACCAGAAGGTTGGGGGTTTGATCCCAGCTTGTGAATGTGATACTTAACCCTGAGTTTCTCCCTCATGGCCAACGTGTGTGAATGTTAGCCTCCCTAGAGCAAGTGGTGCTGCTCTGCATGAATGAGGTGTGAATGACTCGTACTATGTAATGCGCTCTGATATAAGTACTGTCCATTTAGCATTTTTCCATTTAAACCAGGTAAAGTTTTGTATTTTTGCGAGGAAAATTACATGGTTAAACAATGTCAAGCTTTGTCAAGATAAGCATTTTGTTTCTATACACACTAGTGAAACTTTGATTAGTATGGATGTCCAAATGTCAACTGTGAAACAGAAACTTGGAACACACCAGCTTATTTAGACAGTTTAGACTTAATGCTCGTTTTGGCCAATGTGTCACCTTAGTTATATCTTTAAAAATCATGCTTGCTCATATGGCCATGTTATTTCAATTTCTGACCCCCTTCTGAAAACTAATGTGTCCTCCATTTTTGGCGGCTGCTCAGACTAATAGGTCCCCTATTATACTGTTTTTCATCAATATATTAAAGGTCTCAGTTATATACAAAACATGTCTCTGAAGTGTTTGGCTCCAAATATCACACAGATCATTGCAGCATCCCATGAACCCCTCTGTTTCAGCCCTGTTTCAAAAGTGCTGATTCTCTGTCTGTTACTTTAGATGAACATAAGGAGCCACTCCCCATGCCCCTCTGAGAGATATTTGGTTACAAAGAACACAATAGCCGCGTTCACACCGGAGTACTTTTCCTACTTTAGTTCCGATACAGTCCGAAATGTCGCGTTCACACCAAAAAGAGCCGGAACTAAAATTAGTTCATGAGAACCTTTTTACCCCCTTTTCCATCCCTGCTAGAGAGCAGGGACTCTCATGCGGCTCTCTTGTGAGAACAGAGCTATATTTCTGATTGGCTGGGCGGATTGCAAACCACGCCCCGTAAAACTCAAAAAAAGTGTTGTGAAGCCACCATTTTATTAGCATTAGCATTAGCCCAGCGCAGAAACGCAGCGAGACTAACTTATGGCAACACAAAATAAAACATGGGAGCGGTGGAGCGGTGGAGATGAGGAGGTGTCGGCGTTCTAGCGATTTACTCGGAAGGCTTCAGTAGAAGCTGCTGGGAGTCCCAGCAGAACAATATTGGCTAATGGTTACATAAGTCAAAAAAACATTATGACATCATAAAGTGGCCGAAATCTGATCAGCTTTTTTTCAGACAGGTTTTTATATAAATGCATCAGGACAGAAAGTGAGCAACTCTTTTAACATGAAAAAGTGGATTTCGCATAATAGGGTACCTTTTTAATATTCCCTGATTTCCCATGCTCTCCCTTACAGGTTTACCTGCAATCCTGAAAGACCCTATGGCTACCGAGATGTCCATGGACACGATGCTGGCTCCTGACCCTGCCCCCTCGTCCGGCCCCCACCCTGCCTTGGCCTCCCCTCCTGCCCTTGGCACCAGTGAAGTCCAGGACCAGATTTCCAGCGAGGAGCCAGCAATACCAGAAATCCCAGACACAGCGCTGACCTCGGAAACCGATGCTGCCCCAGATCACATCCCGGCTCCGCCTATGAACCCAGACAAGGCCCCCGGCCCTGTTCCAGGCTCTGAGCTGCCCCCAGCCCCCCTGCTGCCGGACAGCGCTAAGAACCCAAGCTGTAAGATCATGACCTTCAGGCCCACCATGGAGGAGTTCAAAGACTTTGCCAAATACATCGTCTACATGGAGAGTCAAGGGGCTCACCGGGCTGGACTGGCAAAGGTGAGGACACGTTCACTCTCAAACTTACACTCACATATTGTTGTCCTTTCTACAGTTCTGTTATTGTAAGGTCTGATGGTAACATTACGTATTTAATCACATAATCATCTAGTGTCTATTTCTACTCAATTTTTCAGAGCCAAGCTTTTATTTTATATTTGTATTGATGTCTTTCGCAAGCTACCAAAGCACATAGTGGGGTCTTGACAAACTTGCTTAATTAACAACTAACAAACCCAAACTATTATATTTTGTCTTTTAATCTGTATGTTTTTTATTTGAGAAAACTGAAATCAGCAAATATTTGTCCATTTATGTTAGGTTGTCACAAATAATAATTCAGTGGAGTAATGAACAGATTGGTATCATCTGGTTATTGAAGTATCAATTGTTCAGTTCAGTTAAATGAAAAACCTATTGAAGGTTCTGCCAGATTGTACCAAATAAATGACAATAAGACTAGGATGGACTGCGGGTTAAGAGCTAGCTGCATGTGGCAACAGGTCATTGTAAAAACACTCAATTTGAAATGTCATCCTACTGAATAGAATCATGAAAGCTAACAATCTGTTTCCTCCACCAGGTGATTCCCCCAGAGGGCTGGAAGCCGCGGAGGTGCTACGACACCATCGAGGACATGGTGATTCCAGCTCCCATCGTGCAGGTGGTGACCGGACAGTCGGGTCTGTTCACCCAGTACAACATCCAGAAGAAGTCTATGACCGTGGGCGAGTACCGCAAGCTGGCCAACAGCAAAAAGTAAGTCGGGTGCAGAGGCCTCATTTATAAAGGTGGTTACTGTTTTATATTTGTAGTAATAGCATAACTATGTGTTGAGACTAATGACAAAACTAACATCACTATCAATGATTGATCTATGATGGGCCTGAAACTCCTCTAGCAAGACCAAAAGTGTTTGTTTTCTGCTGAGTTTTGTCAACATTTGAGGATACATTTACTAAGGGGCAGCTGATTTTTTCCTCAAAGGTGATTCTTTTGGACTCCTGTAAAGGAAAACGAGCAGTGTTAAAAAAAAATATAATCGATTTAAATTTAGAAAACCACAAAAAAATAAATAAAAATGATACCAAGTACTTTTTATAGGCACTGTATCAACCCTTATATGCCCTCTAGTGGCTGTTATATGCTTACATTAAGTTGAATAAAGATACAAGTTAAACCACATTTTTGTTGAGGATTGTATTACAGGGATGGGCATGTAAACTACTACTAATAAGAACAAATAAATGATGATGATATATTGTATATAAAAACAGGAACACTGTCCTCATTATGTTTACATTTCTGCTGTCCAGAAGTTAAAAACATATTGTAAGAAATGATATTTCTGCAGCAGGAACAGTGTCATTATCATGAATATGTATTGACATTATATGGGTCCTTTGCCCCCCCTTAAAGTAACAGTGATTAATAACTGACTGCTCATAAAGGTGGATGCCTGTCAACATTATTGCTGGTTTGGTTGAAGTTCTGTCTCCCTACTCGCTGCTCATGTCTCCTGTTTCCTTTTTCAGGTACTGCACACCCCGGCACAAAGATTTTGATGACCTGGAGAGGAAGTACTGGAAAAACCTGACATTTGTGTCGCCAATTTATGGTGCCGATGTCAGTGGCTCCATCTATGATGAGGTGAGGGTTGTGTGTGTTCCCAAGAAGTGTGTGAGTGCTGGGGTGGATTTGCCAACCCTGCTAGATACTTTGATCAGGAGTATTAGATATGTCTGGTACTCAGTGATTTTATGAAGAAAAAAAAACATTTATTAAGAATAAAATAGGATTTATATCTTAAATACATTGGATAATTGTTAAATGTATTATTGTGTCCTTGTGGCAGACAGGTGCTTTTGCGATTGGGTTTTTAGGACTTGTATGTATTAAAACAACTTAAACACTAGATTACACACTAGCTATTCTGTTGCTACATTTTAGTGTGACTACAGCACCATCATGTGGCTGTTGATAGGCTTTGGAGGACCTGTATGTTTGTGTGTGTTTCAGACTACTATGTAGAGGCTAATCAAACAAATCCTTTCTTCTAACTTCAGGACATTCAAGAGTGGAACATCGGCCGTCTGAACACGCTGCTGGATATGGTGGAGCAGGAGTGTGGCATCGTCATCGAGGGGGTCAACACTCCCTACATGTACTTTGGGATGTGGAAGACCACATTTGCCTGGCACACTGAGGACATGGACCTCTACAGCATCAACTACCTGCACTTTGGACAGTCAAAGTCATGGTCAGTCATTTCTGTTATTAGTATCACTTAAACTATACAGACAAAAGAGGCTGAACTTTAGTTGTCAGAAGTAGAGCTATGCATTGATAGGAAGCTTCAGCACATCAAAAACGCTCTGATATACTTTCTCTAATCACTTTCAATAACTGATTATGCTTGACCGATCCAACAGTGATCACTCATTGGTTCTTATTCTGTACATTTTGCATAAGAGACCCTGCAACAAACATCATTTTATCTCACTTTATAAGGTTCTAAATTGAATTAATGCCTCTCGTACAATTGCAACCATCATCAGCTGTGGTCTGGACTGGTCTCTTTTTTACTCAATGTTTCTTTGAATAATAACAAAGCATCTGAGGAAATCAGATTATAATATTTTTTTAACATCACTTTTACTTATATAATAAAAACACTATTAGCTTTTAGTCATTTATCTTGCCTTAAGTAAAGGAACACGGCGCCAGGCTTTGTTACAGTTCAGACATGTTTTGCTGTTATAAAACTGGTTGGATCAGAATCTGTGTGATTAACGGCAGCTGACATGTTGCTTGCTCTGCGGGCATACAAACAGCTGAGAGACGCTGCCTCTCTGATAGCATCTCAAGTCCTACGGTGGTTGACGGCACCATCTAAAGTCCATGTGAAGCCTGACGGGAACATAATCTGCCTGTTTGGTTGAGATAGGGCTGCCATGATGAATCACACACACACACACACACACACACACACACGTAAGTAATCATCAAAGCACGCTAGACCAAGAGGAAGCTTCTGTCCCAGCAGCCCAGGTTTTTCCTCTGTCACCTTCCCTGCTGTTTCACATTCTCCGTAGTGTACATCCTCAACGTGTTTGTCTCAGGGAATCAGTCCAGTCAGTACAGGTTGGGATGTTTCTTTTGGAAAGTAAACATCACAAAGTCCTCACAACTGAATCTACAGTGTTCTTGAATTCTTGTTTTCTACCAACATCACGCTTCACATACTACTAAATCTCTGCTGTGGACTATATTGTTGTTTGTTTGTGCAACTGTGAAGTGCTCACACTCCTCATCGAACTTGACATTCTTCTGCTTTTAAATCGGGTTTGACCTTTTAAGATATTTGTACAAACAATTCTACTCTTCTTCTATTATTTCCAGCTGTTATGTTTAGGAATTGTTTTGAAAAGTTTCCTCTTTCATTATGATTGGTTCCCTGTTTTTTAAGAATTACAATTTCTTCTCTACGTCTGAGAAATGTTGCACGAAAGAAAACCATTAGATCTTGACCCGATTTTCACAGGCGTTGTGTAATTTCAGGTTTCATTGTAAACTCAACACACGAATACACAGAAAGAAAAAAACATCTGTATCGACCAGGGTATGGGTATAGCTCTGAGCTATTTCGCTCGCTTGCTTTTAATCCTGTGACTGTGTGAATCACTGTTTCTTTCTGCTTCTGTCACTCACCTCTGAAGGTCCTTGGTACCTGCAGAAAAAATATTTTCTTTCCTCTTCTGCCCCTTGATTTATTTTCCATTATTTAACGCCATATTGTTTCCATCCATGGCACTGCAGGTGAGCAGAGCCAACCGAGCCTTGGAGAATTCAGAAGTGTGTGTGTGTGTGTGTGTGTGTGTGTGTGTGTGTGTGCTCTCTCACCTGCCTTCCTTTTCGTCACAGTATGTGTCCCCTCCAACTTTCTCCATCTCCTCTCTGCCTCCTGCAGCTCTACCTCTCTGTGATGCCATCTCATTAAAGTCTGTCTCTTTTCCCATCTCACTGTAAATGTGTGTGTACTCCGTGTGCGAGTCCACAGCCACATCACAGCTGCTGGGCGTATGACAAAAGCTATAGAGGACATCATAAGAAGCGTCCAAAAAAGTTTCTGAAGTGGAAGATCTAGATGAAAAAATAAAACATTAATCTCAGAGGAAAGAATAAAGTAAAAACAGGAAAGCAAACAACCATTGCTTGCCCTTTTCTTTCCCTTCATTTGCATGGGAGGACTTGAAAGAGAGCGCTCCTGGAGGGAGATGAGGGATACAGTGAGCTCACCTGCAGGCACACCTTATAGGAAACTGTGTCAGTGTCATTATTCTCAGTGCCAGAGAGGGGAGACAAAAGTTCTGTATTACAGGCTGTAATGGCAATTTGAACGGTTCCAATGTTCTATATCCTTTGCCATTAATTCACAGGAGGGTTTAGAGTGATCCTGACGCAGACACAAACAGATTAATTTCCGGTCTTTTGCTGCAGTTTAGAATGATGCTTATTGCTTTACATTCCAAGGTTTAAGTACACTGTGTCAAAGGGTTGAGGTATCAGCATCTGCTGGCTGGTGGAATCGGTGTGCTCTTCCTCCTGTGTCCTCGTCCTTTCACCTGTGACCCCTTTTATACACCTGGAGCAGCTAAACCCCGCCACCAAGTGTTCAAAATAATATTGCACTGTACGTATAAATAAGGTAAACTGAGACACCAACAACACCCATAAAAGGGCTCCTACACACCGGCCCCCATTGGCTTTAGCATGAAACACTAAACAATTACCAATAAATAAGCTATGGAAAATAAAAAATGGTGTGTTCTATGAGTTGGTATTTAATTATTGATTATTCAGTTTTCTTTTCTTCTCCCTTATTTTAAGGGTCATCAGTCTTTGCTGTACTTTATGTCTCAGCCTCTTGGAGTAGACATATCAGGATTTGCAGTTCTTAGTTTGAAGCAGTCGTGTTGCCATCCCGTCCAGCGCTGAGAGAACCTGTGGGTTATATTTTCACCCAATTCCAAGCCTTTCCTTATAGGACTCCTGCATTGATGTGTCAGTCACTTCTTCAGATCTGTCACTTGGATTCAGCCGGTGCCCTGGTACCATAACAGAAAAAAATCGAAGATGAGCGGCTCAGTAACGTGTTTGTTGTTGGGCAAGCTGGGATTTTCTTGTCTGAATGGCAAGTCTACACTGTAAAAATATCCACTGTGAATTCACAATAATTACCTGGCAACTTGTTGCATGACTTTCACAGTAAGGTTCACAGCAATTTACTGTGAATGTCTTCACAGCAATGTATTGTAATTTCACATCCATGATATTACAATGCATTGTTGTAAAGGTACAACTGTATACTGTAACTTCAGAGCTTCAATTACTGTGATATTACAGTATGTTACTGGGGAATTACATCATTTTGTTGTACATGCATTACAACAAGGGCCTGTACTTTTACATTTCTATTGTGAAAGTAATGCAGGAGTAGCCAGTAATTTACTGTGAATTTACAATGTGTACTGTGAAAGTAATGCAGGAGTAGCCAGTAATTTACTGTGAATTTACAATGTGTACTGTGAAAGTAATGCAGGAGTAGCCAGTAATTTACTGTGAATTTACAATGTGTACTGTGAAAGTAATGCAGGAGTAGCCAGTAATTTACTGTGAATTTACAATGATACATGTGCATAACTGTAAGCCCCAACTCCAGTACTTCCTGGAGGAAGCTCATACAATGGTTTCCTGTCCAAGTTTAACAGGAAACCAAAGTGTGAGCTTCCTCCTGGAAGTACTGGAGCTGCACTACAAAAATGCACGTAATCTTATTGTACAATTAAAAACAACACCAAACGTCACAAATGAGGTAAAATCAATGGAAGCCCACTGGCATATTTATTGACAAAATAAACAACAGTGTAAACAACAGAGTAAATAAACAGGAACATGAACTAGTTCACCTCAACTATCCATAAAAACAGATTAACCCTTAACGGATCCTTTAAACAAATAATCCCTCGCAGGTGAACTGACCGTAATGCTTCCCACTGGACTTGTCCCCGCACACCATGCAGTCTATGCAGACCATTCTAAGTCTATCAGCTTCCGGTGAAGGGTGCTCACGTGAGGGTTAATGGAGCTTCGCTTCTTTGCCTTGGAGCCTTTCTCCGG